AATTCGTGGCCAATGGCCGACGCTATCGATTCCGCGAGCCGAAACGCAAGCGAAATTGCGAGAAGTTCTAGCTTAGGTGTGGACAAAGCTCGCTTCTGCGGTGCAAGTTTGGTTTTTCCGCTGATCAGAGGTGACACTGCGGTAGAGCTACTATTTTCTAGATAGGCACATACCGCCATTGCATTATTGCTTGCATCCGCGAAAACCCACAAATAAGGTTTGGATAGCGTAGCGTTGACAGCAAAGAACTGTCGTGGAATTTGCACGTGGAAATTGCTAATGGCTTGTGTTGTTTTCTGCCACTCTAGGGCGAACTCAGGATCTACCACAGAGTCCCACTCCAAATTTTTCTGGAACATGCTCCTGAGCATATGTTTTTGTCGTATCATGAGTGGCGCGCCAAGACCGATGGGATCATAAATTGAATGATGTTGTTTCACATAATCTCTTTTTACCTTAGGCTGGGAAGAAAACCCAGTTTTCAGAGAGTAGGTGTCCGTTATAGGGTCATAGTCAACTCCGAGAAGTTTCATCTGCTCATATGGTGCTTTATCTTCCTTTTTTATCTGATCGTTGACCTCTGTGCAATTGCTTACGAATGCTCGCAGATTCATGCCTATTGCAGAGAACAATGCTTTAGATTCTTTGTATTTTTCTACTGCTTCTTCTTTGGAATAAGCTCCCAGTAGAACATTGTCCACGTAAAGTAGCGATAAGATTTCGTTCGCGAGCGGTGTGTCACATTTCTGCAAGTAGGCCGTAAGAACCATGTTGAGCATACTAGGTGATGACGTTATCCCAAAGGGCAGTCTTTTCCATCTGTACTCAACTATATTGCCCCGCTCTGGTGGTCTTTCAGGATCACGTACCCAAAGAAACCTGCACAGGTCGCGGTGAGACTCGTGAATTCGGATTTGTGTGAAGGCAGATTGTATGTCTGCAACAAGAATAATAGGCTTTGTTCGGCTCGCGATGAGTATGTCGTGGATCTTATTCACAAATGATGCCCCAGTGTGGATGACGTCGTTCAATGATAACTGGCCCTTCTGCTTAGAAGACGCGTCGAACACAATCCTAAGTGGATTAGGTTTGTGTTCTCTCCACACCCCCGAGTGCGGCATATAGTAGGTTCCTACCGACTCTGGTACTGATTCGATTACTTTCTCGATTACGTTGTCGGCGAGATACTGTTCAATTGTTTTTACGTACCACGCTCTTTTTTCGGGAAACTGTGCCAGATGTTTCATCTGCGCGACTAGGCGACGGAAGGCCATATTGTAATTGTCGCTAATTCTACACGTCTTGCTTTTCAGAGGGAAAGGGGCACTAACGGTTTCGCCATCGTATTGAAGTAGTTTAGCATATCGCGAAAGATAGGAATTTGCATTTTCATCATCAATTTCTTCCTCTGTGAAAAAAATACCTGAGTCTTCATGTCGAACATTTATTTCTGAGCATTTCTAGGTATCATTGAAATAAGCGGTATGAGGCCACCGGATGGATGGGGGTGCAGGAATACTCTGGTTTCGTTTGACCGCGGCCGTAAGCGGCGAATCCGAACACCGTTTGCGCTAGCCGGAGACCAGTGGGTAACTGGATAGGGGCGGTATTTTCATCGACGAAGAGAGCAGTAAAGATCAAGTCCAATAAGTATGTGAGGCAGTTGATATTCCCCTCGCATACGCGTGTTCGTGAGGAATAGTTTATGCTTTTCCATGAATTGTATGTCACATTCAGCGAGACACACTGCAGGAAATCCTGTAGTTATTGTGGGTTTGGTTCTCATAGAAAATTCAAGTTCACGTCCTTGTGCAGATTGCACGCGTAGCACAACATGATGAGTCAGGAAAGTTTATGACAGTCCACTTATTCCTGATAATGAACATTGCTCCGTTTTTTTAGCACGGGTAGACCCAGATGCTGGGTGGAGTTCTCTAAAAATCAGACTCAGTTGTGCACCTGTATCAAAAAGGAAGAGTGCTCTATGGTATTGTTCGGAGAAATAGTTCCATACCAATCCCTCTGCCGTCATGAGCACAACTTGTTCCCCTGCGGAGATAGTGCCAGACTGCGCTGGAATGTGTTGCTTACGGAAAGCAGCAGACGATACATTCAGCGGATGTGCTTGAGAGGGCGTAAAATTGGTAGGTTCACTGATATTTCTTTGAACTGTCGCTTTTGCGGGTTGTTGGTAGACGTGCAAAAGCGGAAGTTTGCTAACGTGCTGTTGCCTTTACTTCTGTCTGTGCGGATCTCATTTTGCTTCTGTATGCAAAGCGTTTCGTCGTGCAATTTGCCACAGCGCTTGCAGTTGGGACGTCTGCACTCATTGCTTTTGTGTTCACCAGAAAAACATTTCCAGCAAAGACTCTTTTCCATGGCAATTTTTCGGCGTTCGCGTGCTTCTTTGACGGTGCGGCACTCATGAGATCTGTGGTTAGTTCTGTCACAGAAATTGCAGATGGGTCTGAAAGGCGCTTTCTGTGTGTGCTGCAGGCTCTCTTCTTTCTGCTCTGATTCATGGCTGGTTAGGCCGTTCATTAATGTACGTATGCCTTAAGATGACCGCTTCGAGCTGATCTAATGTTTCGCCGACCGTGCATGTTTCAGCGGACTTATTTTCACGTAAGAATTCCTCTATAATTTGACGCGGAAGCTTTTGGAGTATTGTTTCGATCCACATAGGATCACAAATGTTCTACTACCGCAAAACCTGAAGACGTCATTTCATTAACGAGGGCTCTTATGTTGTCAAATACCGCTTCACACGATTTGGCGTTGTTCTCTTGGCCGCGGGTAAGGAGGACAGCCTTTTTATGACATTCGCACGAGCATTCGTTACGTTGTTGTATTTTTTCAGAATAGTGTCAACATCCATTGGTAACTGGCCGGAACCATTTGTATTCCTTTGATGGTATCGGCAGCTTTCCCAACGAGACTCTCTTTCAAAAGAATTATTTTCTCCATAGTATTCAATGAAGAATTCTGGTGAACCATTGCGTTATATATGGCCCAGTACTCCTGAAAGTTTGAAATTTCCCCAGCAAAATGAGGGATGGTCACTGTAGGAGGCTTGATAGAATTGGTTCCCGTCTGCTTGTGCTGGTCATAGTAGCTATCATATGCTGTTTCCATCTGCACCTTTTCAATATCTGTCATGTCCTGTTGTGTTCGCTGCTGCAACGCTTGGTCTCCGCTACAGGAAGCGCCTGTTGCGACTGTCTCTGTTTTGGCGGCCGCGGTCGCCGTCGCTTGTTTGAATGCGTTCTGACATTTGCTCGGATTTTTATCTGATGCAGCTGCGCCTGTTACCGTATCGGACGGCTCTTTTTTCGGAACGTTTTTACGTTCGACCCTTGCCTGCTCGCATTTTACTTCTGCAAGTCGAGTTTTTAATGCTGTCAAAATTGCGTCAGCTTCGCTCAGCACCTCGTTATAATGGGTCTCGGTTTCAATGGATTGAAACTCGTCGAGGAACTCTTTCCGTTCCGACTTTTTTAGTTCGGCGAATTCTTTTCGAACACTTTCGACTATTTTCAAAAGGTCGTTTCGGGTGCCAGTTATTATTGAAATAGCGTTTTCGATGGATGAAACGTTGGTGATGCAGAAATCTATGCGTTCTGCATATTCAAGAGGATACTGAGGTTCGTTAGTGAACGATCGAAATGTATCGATTTGAGTGACTAAAGTGTCACTGGTTCTCTTCAAACTCGACTTGTGGAAGTAAAGTGCCATTGTGTTCTACCTTGTGCTGACTTGTAGAGCGTCAGCGCGGTGCTCTCTCTTGGAATCGGCTGTGTGGCGGGTTGAAAATAACCTGGCCACTGACCTGGTTTGTCAGTTCGGCAGAAATGCAAGGACTGACAAACGGGCGACACGTTTAGTTCGTGTTTGCCGATGCACCAAATGTGCTGCCCCGCGATGGTTATATAAGGTGGTTCAGTACAAAATGTATCAAGCACGTTTATGAAGCGAGAACTGAAGCAATCCTACAAGCTGCACTGCACGCGAAAAAGAATGAGCGTCGGGCGGGGCGGTGCTTGAGAGTCGCGTCATCGCACAGACGACTTGTAATCGCATGGACGAACGAGGACGCGCACTGCCCCGAAATTTTGAGAATTTTTTGAATGCGTGGTTAAAGCAAGCGAGAACGATTCTGAGTTAACTCTTAAAGATCAAACTGTCAGCGATTGTGTGGACTGAGTTTGCTTTCGCGCCTATGGCCGATGTCATAGTTTGCGAATCGAGCGATTCGCTAGCGAATCGCTGGATCCGAATCGAACGTTGCACCAGCGAATCGAACTTTGCGCCAGCGAGTCGAACGATGTACCAGCGAGTCGAACTAGGTACCAGCGACTCAATAGTGGCGGGACCCAACGTTCAAAGGAAGACCCCGACCAGCCACGCACTTTCCAAAAAGCGTACCACTGTCACGTGACACTGTTTGAAAGTCGCCACGGGCTTCCTTTGAAACGTTGGGTCCCGCCACTATTGAGTCGCTGGTACCTAGTTCGACTCGCTGGTACATCGTTCGACTCGCTGGCGCAAAGTTCGATTCGCTGGTGCAACGTTCGATTCGCTGGCGCAACGCTCGGATCGAGCGATTCGCTAGCGAATCGCTCGATTCGCAAACTATGACATCGGCCTAACGTGACTGAAGTCTAGTAGCGTTGGCCTGCCTCTTGACCGTAGTCTACCGTAGTTTTGCCACTCGAGAAGAAAAGTGTAACCGCTGGAGCTTTGTGCGCTGTGTTGGAGCCCGACCCCGTCCCTATGAATTCGGTGAGCATTGTGCTTTCAAAGAGTTGACGACCAAATGCTAGATGGCGGGGGATATCTATCTTGGCGCTGCGATTGCGGTGTTGGCCGTCCTACTTAGGATGTCCGCCTATATTTCCACTAGGGTGAGTTTTCCCTTCCTCGACCTTCGACCTTACCCCTTAAAGGCATGCCCCAGGATCACATTGGTGTGGCCCTTGTACACGAATGTGGAGCTATTTTGTGGCGAACTGGGCGGTAGTAAGCCACAAGGAAAGCAAGGCCGCGTTGAAATCCGTCTCAGAGCAAGACTCACGCTCACCTCCGTAAAGTCGGCTGTGCTAATGGAAATGAGAGGCTAAGACTGCGAGAGCCAGGAGAGTATGGGGCGAGAGAGCGCTACAGATGTCGAAGATCGCCAGACAACAGCCTGATAAGAGAAAAAGTCTGCCAGCAGCTTGGGCAGCTTACTTTGCAAGGCCCAACGCTCTTGTCGGTTGGTTTCCGTGCACGGGAACGTCACATTTATGATCGTTCTTCAGTGTGGGTACACCACAGACCTGAGAGAAGAGTTCACACGACTCTGCCTGGGTTGTGCATTTAATCCTTTACCGCGTTAATATACTCCAAGTCTAATCAGGGTGACTGAATACGAGGATCACAGGATTGAGTTGAATGTTTCCTTTTTCAGCTTCTTCGCGTCACTCAGGCGCTGTCGAAACGTCACCTGACCAGTCCTAATCGAGCGCTCTCAACAAGTTACCAGTGCAAGGAGAATCTGCGGGTGGTTCGACTCATATCACCGGTTTACGTGCTACTTTTCGTAACTCGCCTTTGCCAATTCGCCTTCCGACTATATGCCTATTATTTTGGTACCAATCTAGGAGCCTTCTTGCTGCGACTATTCGCCCACATGTACAACTTGGTGAGTTTTTTTGCACTCGGCTTGCCTCGATATGCCCTGAACTGCAGTTTAAGTTTCACAACTTTGCTGTTTCCTTGAAGGCAAAGTTCGGGCCCAGACCTACCTGAGAACCATGGCTAGAAGTGGTGGGTACGCAAGTGCAAAGTTAGCGCCACCTTTCTACATCGAAACGCGTCACTAGGACCCTAGGCGCCATGGACTTCTAACAGACTCCACCAAACTTAACATGGTCCGCCCACCGTTCGATATCTTGTCTGCGTCGCTGCGTTGATGTGCTATGCTCTCTCTTCTCGGACTTCTCTACCACTCTCCGCGCTCACATTATCTCTTCATCTCCCTGGCTGTGTCTTTTGAACTTCTCCACAGCATGGAGCAAAATGCTCGTATTTCCTGTGTATTTCAGGATTTTCTTTCCTTTTTTCTCCACTGGCAGGTCCACCTCCCATCCCTACTTTCACATTTGAGTGGAATCAACCAATCAATGTAATCCTGATTTGTTGCCTTTAAAACTGCTCTTTCAGTCACTGGCTGTGAGCGTGTTTGTCACGCCTCTTCTGCTCATCGTCATGGGGCCCGCGTTTTACAGCACAGCCTCCAGAACAAGTGTCCTAATCATCGAGCTGCTTCGAACGGCGGAACAAGCAGTGGAGCAGATCAAGAAGCTAGCGACTCGTTTTGTTCTCACGGACCGATTATTCGAAGCACTAGTTCAGAATGGAAAGGTCAATCCCAGTCTTCGGCGAGATTGGTTACGCAAGAAGCACAAGTTCGACGTGGAAGCGGACAAAGTGCTCGAGTTTGTGGTCAGAAAAACGAGCGACTTCGAAAAAATCGTCGACGAGCTCTGCAAAGAGAAGAGAAAAGCTGAAAGGAGGCTGAACGATTCGGATCAAGAGCGTCGTCCGGAGTTGCAGAAAAAACAGCTCCTTCAGATTCTCCGGGAAGAAATGGCTCTGGAGGCCCAATCAACTACGGAGCAGATCAGAAGTCTGAAAGAAAGGGTAAAATCACAGGAGGCTGAAATAGCTCGTCTCAAAGGAATCATCCAGACGAAGGAGCAGCAAGAGACGGAAAAACCTGGTCCAAGTCGAGTGCAAGTGACAGTTGATGCCTCAGATGGAGCAAAAGGAGGCGCTGCATTGGAACAAGTGCCCATTGAGATGGAAACTGATGAAGATTACTTCGAGAAAATGGTTCAAGAAGTACAAGAGGACGAAGAGATGACGGATACGGAACAAGAAGAAGAAGAACGTGAAGACTCTTCGGGGCGAATTATTCAACTCTGCCAACAAGCCCTCGAGTTGGAACAAGTACTTCAGACGTTTCCCTATAGAGACTTTGGAGATAGGAAAGTCAGCAACACCTGTACCTTTTGCGGCGCTGTAGACCGTCACTTCTCAGACTCTTGCCCGCAGGTACAAGATGGACACGATCGAAACACAATCGTCGATAGAAAGAAGGTGTGCAAGTGCTGCTTCGGCAACTGCCCAAAAGACAAGTGCAGATTTCCACCGAGAGACTGCTACTACTGCGAGAGGATTAGAGGGACGATCGTCGAGGATTTGATTCCGAAAAAGAGACATCATCGCGCACTGTGTGAAGTACCGGATCTAAAAAACGAAGTAAGAAAACGAATAAAGCGGCTGGAAGAGGAGATCGAACGTCTACGATCAGAAGAACGATTCAAGCCGGGCGGAGTGTCGACAAGTCGACGATACTTCAAGTGATATATTTGGATTATTGAATCTGTTGTTTTTGATTGATTTAAAAATATGATGTGCATTACATTTTTTCTTATGACTCATCGTTTCATGTAACTTTTTGAGATGTTGTGGAAATTCTAGCTCGTGGGTGCCGATTATGTTGTTAGATTCTTAAAAGATATGCTCGCCATACAGTATAAAAGGAGGTGAGGAGAAGGAGCCTGGCAGTTTCTGCTCCAGCCACAAGTGCTTACAAGTTCGCCTAGAAAGAGAAAACCACAAGTGCTCCTTCGCCTCACAAGTGGAAATTGTAGGTCGATTATTGATTTGTCATAAAGCTGTGCATCAGTACAGTGTTAGGAGCAGTGGAAAAAGTCCCGCGTGGCAGTGTGAACAAGACAAGCTATTCAGAATAGCTGGCGACCAAGTACCTAGGAAACCGAACCGCCGATCCCTTTCAGGCAGTCCAACACAATAGACTGTCACATAGGCGGAAAGCAAACTCAGTCCACACGATCGCTGACAGTGTGATTCTAAAGAGTAATTAGAATGTTCCGCTTCCTTTCAACCAACCATCAGAAAAATCTCCAATTTAGGGGGCAGTACCACAGACCCATTTTATCAGAAAGCCTTCAGAGAAGGAATTCACGATAAGAACGAAAGTCAAATAAGGGGAAAATTGCATAGCTGGGAGGCAGCGAAAGATTTGACCTTGGCGATCTAGCATGGCTCACTCTTGGCGCGGTTGGCGGGGTACGCCCACCGACTATCTAATCACTCGCCGCAGGTCTATACGTGGCGAGTGATTAGATAGCAGAGAGAGCACAGCGATGAGAGTCGCATCAATGCGCAAATCAACGGGCAAGGAAGGGTCCCATTTCTCGGGTTTCGAGCCGTTTCAAATGGTTTCTTCTTCATCCCTGCTCCACTGACCACCTCTACCCTTATTTCCAATGAGCTAACTTTTCATAGTTAGTTCTGCCTTTGAAGGCAGCGATTATGATAGGGGAGGCGGTCATATGGCGCGATCACATTGGCATTAGAGCGCACAGGCCGCAATTGCCCATCCTGCTGTGGCCGGACAACTCGTCCGTATCACTCAACTACTAGACTTCAGTAATTGATCGATCTGATAATTTGGGTCTCAAAAATCTCGCTGAGTCTCAAAGATTTAAAAAGAGCGGATAGCTTCGTTGGCCTGATGCCAAGGCAAGAGGAACGGAACAGAATGTGGTGCGCGGACGAGTTGTCCGATCCACGTAAAGATGCTGTTACGGCCTGTGCATTCCAATGCCAATGGGATCGCGCCATAAAACGCCCACCCATGATAGGTTCTGGAGTAATTCCGTGAGGAGTTACGGGGGCTCAATGGTACGCCAATTACTAAAAATGGAAGAAATACTTAAGAAAATTTAAGAAAATGCAAAAAGGGAATTTCCTTGTTTGCCATTGATCACCGCTCGAGAACTGGCAATGGCGAAGGCGGCGGACTTATAGATGAGTTTAGCGCAACGCATTTAGTGGCACCATGCGACGAGCTGTTCTCCCCTCAAGTTGCTCCCGCTGTGCCAGCAGCGGCACAACTGAGGCAGCTCGGAGGGAGCACAGCTCGTACAAATCACCAACTAAACTAGTGGGCGGATCGCTTTTGGGGCGGAGTGCTTTTCGAAGTCCTGCTCAGCAACCAGCGCACCTTTCGTCGTGAAAGCGCCACACTCGCTTATTTGGCAGCCAAGTTAACTGCTTCGTGTAGCACATGTACTTCGCCTATGAGCTCGCCTTAATGTGGTCTTTTCTTAGGTTTATGAAACTATGTCTGGTTGTGATAACTTGAATACAATAAAGATACTGGTAGGATTAGAAAGCAGTTTTCGTAGGAACTTAATAGAAAGATTGTAGTGTGATTTCTCACCACTAATCCGATGACGTTCGTTGCCGTCATCACATATGAAATGTACATGAGCGTTGTTTGCGGTGTTTCATAGTAGACATCACCACGAGCGACGAACAAATAGAATGAAGATCCGTATATAGTGGCTACCTGAAGACATCGTTTATTGAAAAATGCTGATTGCTGAGGCAGAGAGAACAAATATTCTCTCATACATACTATAACCCCACATTCGCAGCTACCCCGCCCCTTCCCTCTGGATGCGCGCAAGTTGATTGTAGGGTAACGATGAAAAGGCGTACGGAATGGGCGCATGAATTGCTTCAATGTTTGCGACTTCCAACAAAGCAAAGTCATTCTCTTTCTCGACTTGAAAAAGTGACCGGAGCGCGGTACGGAGCGAGTGGTGTGTGGAAGGATTGAGATGGCGAGGACAAACGCTGGCGTTCCAAGTCTTTCTTATCGCGTCAGCTCGTCGAATATACCTCAAAAAGGCAGAAAGTCTGAACCTGGATGTGGGTAGCATGCAGCAAAGAAATTCATTCAACACAATCAATCGAGTTAGTTTAAGATAAATGAGATATTTCACAAGAGTGCTAGGTTGTGAACAAAACTTTCGCCCCTGCCGGAACTAGAACCCGCACCACTCGCCTTCCGGGCAGCGCTGCTACAGTTTACGTACGAGAACAATTTCATGCACTCAGTGTTCGTGGTATTCTTACTATTAGCTTGTCAGCAGCCGAGCCATGTTAGCCGATGGCATGACCGCGAGACTGAAACTACCGCCCGGGTAGCCGTAATGTAGAGCCGGGTGCAAACTTGCCCAGAAAGGGAGACACGGGTAAGGCGTTTTAGTCTCGCCGGGAAGTTTGGTCACATACCGAGTCATTCTTAGTGAAACTCTCGCAAGGCGAAACTGCGGCACAGCATAAGCAAACAAAAGAAAGTCATAATAAGTACTTAGAAAGCGAAGAAGTCTGGAATAAGCTGGTCATGCAAAAACGGTATGGCTTCTTTCGTTTAAAGAGAGGTCAAAGAGAGGGTTAGCGCACACGCTTCTTCAGCGCGACCTAGCAACTAGCAGAGGGAAGAATCGGTCGAGGATACACGATGGACGTCGAGGATTCCACTGACAGTATGGCACTCCGCAGGAATTTACTCTCGAACTATCGGTCACAATTAAGAGTCACAGCTGGTCGAAGATTCCTTTCGACTTTGTCTCCACCACTTGGGTACGCGTGTATTGCTTACGTTACGGTAGTGTGGATAATTGGATACGTAGTGCATGGTGTACGCAATGGCGTCACGATAGCTTACGAAGTGATAAGACTTAAACATTAGGAGAGGTGGAGGGGTCTCAGGTTGGGGGTTAGGCCTTTTTTTAGCTCGGAAAGTCCGTTCCTTTCAAGGGTCAGTTTTGGGCGAACAGGAAAGAGGCTGCGCGTGGAAAGCGAAAACGAAGACATTAGTCGTCAGCGACAGGCATTGCGTTATATACACGCATACCGTGCTCAAAAATTAACAATCCCCCGAAGTAGGATTGTACCATTCGGTATAAGGGTTACAGCCGGTTCGGCTGGGTTGTGCGTTACTATGTCGCGGTCACAAAACTTTCGAGGTGGACTCTGGGAACGAGTTGCAGCAAGCCGGCCTAAGGTATAGGGTCCTAAACTTCTGTCTTCTTACTTGGTCGATGACGCCGGTCGAGTCTCGTGAATCAAGTATAGGGAAGATGCGTCTGAAGATGCATGTTTTGGGACCCCATTCCTAGCCGGGGCTTGCGGCAGCTGATCCTTGGGGTTCCCGAGCGAAAAAGTTTTGCAATGTGGGAAGCGGCAAGTTCAATTTCTGTCCTACCAACCCTCCCAAAGCCTAACAAAAGGATGCATTAGAGAAGAATTCATAACAGTTTGGCGAATTTTTTCTCGCTGACTTACAAAGCTAACCGTACCATATTACTGGTAACTTACAACAACGCATGATAAGATCATTTTGGGTACGAATGTGGAGAACATGTGCTCGTAACGTCGAATGTACGTGGTGGCAACAAGACGTTCAATTGAAATCAAAACACGGTAGGTGTCGATTTGCGGAAGGATATGCGATCAGTGACCGACTTCGACGTAGAGATCCACTCTTTGGACCATGCATACTGTAATCACGACCGGAAATACACAGTATGTCAATTAAAGTAGCATTATTACAGCCTATGTTTTGATTCGGGGGTACCTAACTGCATGAAGAATTTATCTTGGTCTGTCATTTTGGATACGCTACGCATTCCACTTCATTTCGAAGATATGAGATAATTTGAATGTGTCTTCAGCTTGTGCCCCATTGTTTATTTGCTTTCTTTTTTGTTTTTGATCCAAATGTTTTTGTAATGTTTTGTTTTTAGAACAGAAAGACTTTGTAAAAGCTAGTGTCGAGCAAAAAAAGCGGAATGGACAAAAATCAGCGCACCTTCACGCAAAAATAGAAGCGGATTTATGGGATTATGGGGTAATCGGAGCACCTCAAATTTTATTTGGACCCCTCCTTTTGTTCGTGTTGAAGGAGGATTCCACGATAAGGATGAGGGTCGAAGAAGTGGAAACTCACCTAGTGGAGAAACAGACCGACTTCTTAAGGACCAGGGGCAACACGAAATTTCCAGAAGGATATGCCACTGTCCTAGCATAGCTTTTCCCGCGGCTGCCATTGGCGCTGTACCCCGCCCCCGTCTCCGGCGTCCTCTCCCGTCCGAGTCTCTAGCTGCTCAACAGAGAGAGAGAGCGCTAGCGTTGAAGAGAGCGGCACCGACGGGAGTTGCACCAATGCGGAAATCAATGCAAATCGTACATCAAAGGAAGGGGTCCGTTTTTCGGGTTCTGGGTAGCTTCTCAAGGTTCTTTCTTCTTTAATGCATCACTGACCATCTCCAGCTTTATTTTCAATAGACTGCCTTTTTATCGTAGAATGCAATGTGCCTTTAAAGCAACAACCCTAGGTGTGGTCATGTAGAAGAATCTGTTCGGTGGGTGGGATGTAGTGCCACGAGTATCATCCGTTGTGCCGTTGTCGCGGCTCGAAAGTGCACGACAACGGGGCGAGGCAGTACTTACAAAGTGATCTGATAGCGTCTGATCTGATGGTGAGCTTATGGACGAGACACTCCGCGCACACCACGTGATACCCAACGTGGGTTACTACGTAGCGGCTAACTCAACTACTTGCGGGTTAGTGTAACCCTAGAGCAAGCATGTCTAGACAACTCGTTCGGACATGCCCTTCCCTCATTCCAAGAGGGACTAGAGGGAATACATGTCACTGTCTTCATTTGATTTGATCTGTTTTGTTCTTCATATTCAGTCAGTTTGGCCTTCAAATTTTATTCGACCACTGTTACCCCCCCCCTCTCCGCCAAGGTGAGCTGGTGTTGTTGTTTTGAGTAAGTTCAAAAATAACAGAAAGTAATTGCAGCCTGAGCGCAGGTGCAAATCGTGCTTTCGCAGTATGCATTCTGGAAATAGCCTCTTTCAGAGAATGAATAGGTGCAAAAAGCTAACGTGATGAAGTTTTTTTTTGCAATTCTCGCCGGGCATGATTCTTGTCTCGGCAGAGATTGAACCGCGGCCCTCACAGGTGCGGACAAGAGCGTGTCCACCAGTAAGCACTCGGCTATTCCAGCCTTATAAGATTTACGATGTCGTTCGTAGGTATAAAACGACCTCGATCTGCTCCACGCCGGGGCCCTGGCGCCTTGCATTGGTCTGTTTGGAATTCGTAGAAACGGTGTATCAATCGTTTTCAGAATGATGTCGGTTACGCATGCCAGACATATTCCTTGTAGCCAATAATGGCCTTACTGCAGTCGAACATAACTGAAGATTGTGAATTTGTGCATCTAGCGTCGTCAATTGCTGTAATACAATGCGAATACTCACTACTTCGTTTTGCAAAAAGAATCCTAAATAAGGGAATTTTAAAAACTCTCACCTAGAAATAACCGCACTGGAGCCATGAATATTCGAAAAAACGAGTTGAATAGCATTCCAAAGCACATAGTATTCATTAGAATCCTAAATCAGTATTTGATTCATTGAAGTACTAGGTAAGCCAAAAATGCAATTCTTCAACTTGTTGAACATTGGAAAAAACGTATTCATGCGCTTCTTCTGTGGAAGGAGGATTTCACAATAAAGTCGGAGGTTGAAGAAGGAGAAATATGTCAAGTCGGAAGGAAATCGCGCCCTCTAATTGCGACCGATGCGCGTTCAGCACATACAGTGTGCCCGAGCCAGCAGCTCCAACACCCGCGCCGGCACGCCCACCCTCCCGTCGTCTGCCTCTAGCCGTTTAGCAGAGAGGCCGTTAATGTTCAATAGGACAGCAGCGATGAGAGTCGCATTGATGTGGAAATCAACGGGCAGAAAAGAGGTTTTATTTTTCGGATTTGGGGCCGTTTCTCATGTAATTTTTTCTTTATCCCGCACCGCTGACCATGTCTACCCTGTTTCAATGGACTGCCCTCCCATTTACCGCCGTCTTAATCTGGATTAATCTCCTCCCACTAGTAAAGTGGTATACTGTTAGTGGTATACTGGATATCGCCACTGTTAATTAAACTCCAAAGTTGTTAACTGAAATCATAGGCCTGTCGTCAACGACAGTTTTTGGCACATCATAGCTTTTGACAATAGGGGCAACGCGATTCTTCTGAGAAGAAGTCAATCTTGGGAGACTCGTGCTTACCACAATCGCCTTGCTTGACTGCATGGCTTCTCCAGAATGAAAATCGGCTACCTTCGTAACAACAACTCAAATCTTAAGCTTGATTGTGAGCCCAAGCCCAAACCCTCGCCATAAAGTTCAATGATGTGCACTGTGGTGACTTTACCTATGAGTAGCCTCAGCACTTAAATAAACACAGCGTAATAGAACGCTCTTATATCAACAACTAAATTAATCAATGCGGAAGTTTCTTGAAACAGTATAAGACATGGCTGATGTACTGATTTTCATCTGTTTCTATGTTTGATGATGCCCACTCGCTTTGTGCTTCTATTGTAATCTACTTTGGTTGTACTTACCACGCAGATATTCTGCGTCTATGAATAAATAAATAGAATAAATAAACAACTGATCTGCAGTCGTTGGTGTGAGAATTTAGTCGACTTCGTGATTTTGACAGCGATGCGAAACATGGCGCATCCACGACAGGATTATTCATCGTCGAACACTTCTACTGGCCTATTTTTCTTTGTAATCCATCTGATCCCTGCTTTCTTGATTCTTATACTCCGTTTCGTTCACGCTACTATTATTGTGTTCATTTTATGTTTTTTTTTGGTATTCTTTTAACTTTCAACCTTCATCTACATTTTCCATTCACTTGTGAGTTATGTTTTGTTCCCATCACTAATCCTTCTATTTTATAAAGCGCTAACTTTGTGTGTCGGTTTGTGTATCTGTATGTGTGTGTGTGTATGTGTGTGTGTGTCCGTCCGCAAAATGAAGTGAGTGAGAAGGAAGCTCATGGGATAAACAAACCGCTAACAAATCGGGTAGCTTACAGGATTTGAGATATCAATGTTTTGTAGCAGGATAGTTGTGATAACACTCTTAGGGCTATATAAACACCTGCTTAGCACACTTCCGTTCATTCCACATGGTGCTGCAGTGGCAGCTGGAGGGCAGTGGAGAGAGGAAGGGAGGATGAGGAAGGGAAGCGAAAAATCTACCGTCATATCATGATTGTGTCCCTTCTACTGTATGAAACACCATTGTGTTGCATACGCGTCACTTCCAGGAGGTGTTGGTGTCACAGGAGGAAGGGACCATAGCGGAGGATAGAAAGCTTGCGCAGGAAAGGAAGGTCCCGGCGGTTGACGGGGGACTAATCTGGTATATAAAATGCAATAAGGCGTGTATCGTTGTGCGACTACTTCCTACAGTAATCATGAAAATGATTAATAAGGCGATTCAATAACGTCTGCGAATTCTGCTACCGACTTCAAGTCTTCCAGAGTTTACATGTATTGTTCTCTGTTGGCGACGATAGGGACACCACCCGACTTCATAATTACGATGAACTTTGTTCAATTGACTTAAGTCTCTTGATTTTCGCTAAACGCTCCCCATGCCGAACATTGTACATTTCTGACCAGCGTTTGGCTAAATTGCTCGTCGTCTTGGTTTCAAAATCTATAAATGTAGCTCACACAGAAGACAATCGTTTTGCATAGAGAAAACGGATTATTGAGTATCAGCCTCTACATCCGTTCTTCTAGATGTGGTCTGTGAACCGAAATCACCAGTCTCCCAGCATTCGCGCTGCCAACTCGCGATGTTCATTGTGTGAAAACTCCAGTTCGGGGGGGGGGGGGCACTCCATTTTTTCTCCAATACTCAAGATAAGGATTAGAGGGCTCACGACACGTAATCGACTCATTTAAAGTAGACTTCTGATAAATATTGGTGTAATGGGTGAGAAACCCTGAAACGTTTTCACATTTCCGCCTGCCATGACCCAAGGGAACGGTCCTGGACCAGGAGAAAGGACACCTCCGCAAAGGGCTAAGGGTGCAGGAGCTCCAGGGTGGATCACCTGTGCAGAAAAGTGGATGGGATGTGGGCAGGTAGTGTGGAATGTAGGACATCCACCGGTCCTTATCAAAAGTACGCTCGAAATGAGTCGTTCACTTATTATCTTATCCGTAGTGTTCGATAGCCCAAAGAACTGCTCTCTAGTACTACGGATAAGATAGCAATGGAGTGCCCCCCCCGAACTGGAGTTTCACCCGTTCATTTGTTGTCAGTCACGATTTAGCAGCCATAGACTGTTGCGCCGTTGGCCCTCCACTTCTCTTCCAGCTGACGCATGACATTCTCGAAAAGGCACGGAAAGTTTTCCAGGTATAGTGTTTTCTTTTCTGTTCCGGACGCTCTTGATCTCCCATTAAAAGTGAAGACAGTGGCCCATTAATATTGTCCAATGAACTGGTTCAGCAAAAAGGTCATTTTCGTGCTGGGT